GATACTAATATTTTGCTAGCGGTATATACCGGTAACTGCGTACAGCGTACCGGAAAATACTGCGGTATCGCCCGCGCATTTTGAATGGCTGCATCTGGAAATGTTAATTGATTAAGACATGCATTGGTTGAAACTACAGTGGATTTCATGAAAACCTCTAGGATCATTGTATTTATAAGCATGATAAAGAATTTAAGAGTATTTTTGTATATCATTAAATCTGATTCATATATGCAATCTGTACAAAAAAAAGACTGCTCTTTGACTGTACTGGATTTAAAAAAGGAATTAAAGTCAGGTGCTAGACTGACTGCAATCACTGCACAGCATCATTTCAAAATCCCCATAGACCACCACGTTAGCAGACCTCTGAATTCACTTACTCATGGAGCTGAGCACCTTGTTTATAGCCATCAGAGCCGTTACAGCCAAAGAAATCTGTCTGACAGTACTGTTTTAAAATTACTTAGCTGTGGTAATTAACCTAAACTGAATTTAAAATACTGATATAGTCTGATATAGACTATATACTGGTGACTGATATAGTCACCTGAAGAAGGCTCCACGGCCGAAACGTTGTGTTCTCTTTCTTCTTTTTTTCAGCATGGAATAAACCTATTACTTGTTCCTGATATAGTCTTACTGATACATGGACAGTTTTCTCTGTCCATAGATCCTGGTCTGCAGTAGCCATGAAAATAAATAAATGTGTATTCATGACAAGTGTAGCCTTACTTTACACAGCCCAAGAAATAATCCATGACACCTGACAGACTGATCCAGCAAATATTCCAAAGATGAATGAGAGAAGTACAAATATACAATGTGTACAATCAAATTACTTGGGAAAAAAAACAGAAATAATAATCAATAATAGTTCCAGTCCTTGCCATTTCACTGCCTCTGAAATCTTAACTTCTGCATAATGAAGGTCTGATAAAAACTCATGTATTTTGTTTCTGCAGATATTCCCCAGGTTGTGCTGTTAACTAAGGTGGATGAAGCTTGTCTATTGGTAAGAAATGATCTCCAAAAGGTGTACAGGAGCACATACATCAAAGCACAGGTGAGTTTAAACTTTGCTGCAGTAGGTTTTTAAAATTAATGTATTAACTTCTCAAGCAATACTTTAGTCAAGAGAAAGGCAAAGAGTTAAGAGAAGGCAAATCATGACCTAGATATTAAAAAATGTTTCATAATCAGTCTGCATTTAGGCTCCAGCTGGAAGGAGATGGTAAGAGCTCTGAAGTTAAAGGTTCTTGTTAGCGTCTGTCTGAGTTGGCTAACAGGTCTTTGAGACTCTCAGTGAGGCACAGTAGGCTTGAAAGATGCAGGAGATGCATACCGAGATGTATCATAAATTCAAAATACGTGTGTTGCCGCCTGTTTGCTTGGCCCAGTAGTGAAGAAATGTGTTATTAAGGCACAGAGGAATGGCTTGCTGCGGCAGGACAGGCAGAGGAGTATCTTCTCACAACAGATAGGAGAGCAGAGTCTAGACAGCACAGACTGTATCGCTAGTCACCCTGCATATGAAGATCTGCAGGGAAAAAGGTATTCACTGAGACACAGGAAAGAAATAAGAGAAAAAAATATATAGATATGTTTGGATTTTCTTTCACCTTTTCTGTTATTTTGATGACTATGAAGTGAAGTTAAAATCCTTGGACTTGAACGATATTTATTTATTTTGCCCTGTCTTTCTTTGTATTACAGATAGAAAGTGCCAGTAAGACATTGGGCATCCCTGTAAACTGCATTTTTCCTGTGAAGAACTACAGTGGGGAAATCAGCCTGAATGATGAGATTGATGTCCTGTCCCTGACAGCACTGCTGCAGATACTCAGATTTGCTAATGGCTACTTACTAAACCTGGATCAAAAGCAACATAACTGAGAGTTGCAAAGTACTATATTCAATTACTAAATACAATAAGTAAAAACTAAAAGAAGTGTATGAGACACATCTGAAGTGTTTAATTAACTCAATTTAGTTTCTTGTTATTCTAATATTTTCATGTGTTGATCAGTAAATTGACAATGTAACCTACAAATGTCTCAGCATTAGAATACAAATAAAGAAAATGAGAATGAAAAACATCTGTTGCTATTTAGACATAAATATGATATAAATTTATTAGGTTCTGCTTTCCCGCAAGGTATAAATTAGCCGTTTTTAAACCCTGCAACTCAAAACAAAAAGAAAATATGAACCTGGTCAGTACCTTGATGGGAGAGCTCCTGAGAAAGCTAAGGGTGCTGCTGGAACCTCATGGTGTTAGTGTTGATGGGACCAGTAGGGAGTGCTCACCCACTGGTCCTAATGCCCCAGTATAGTGACATTTTCTAAAAGAGTAGGGGTGTCAACCCTGGTGTCCTGGCCAAACCTCTCAGCATCTCATAGTACCTGTAAAGCTCTAAAAATATTCACAGGGACACTGCAAATCACAGTTGCACTATTCTATTAAAGAAATCACCCTTTAGGGCACCCATGCAATTCATAATGCAAATGTAATGATTAACACAGAAAAATGAAATCAGATACATTGCCCTGATAAAATACTTTATGGACTGTAAAGCCAATTAGATTATTCACATACTGAGTTGGAGGAGGTCAGCATTTGAACCATCGGCCACATGGATTGCAAAAACAAAGTGCCCATTTCTCCAGTATTTAAGGACTTTTCATAACGTTTCACTTTAATACTTAAACATGCAGCCATTCAAAATGCGGTGTAAAACCCCATACCGCGCAAAATTATCTACAGTTAAGCGTGTTATACTGCAGTACATGATTGACTGGCCAAAATGACCGACAGGCGGCACTCGTGGTGCATTGGTTGTTAGTGAAATGATTGTTTCATTTAATCTCTTTACTGTGCATATTTAAATCTGCTTAATATTGAATATTAATATGGAATTTTACAAGAAAGAGAAATTTTAGTATTTAGTAGAGGAGCATTGAGTGACTGAAGGTCATAAACTATAGTATATTAATTTAGGAATATAAACATATTATGTAAACTGTATATGGCTGGTATTGGTAGTTTAAAGAAAAAAATACACACCAGTATTCCACTTTCTTCATAAACCTTTTAAGCATCAAAGTCTTTCATTTGGTTACATACTGTGGTCATTTTGGGAAAGTTTTCTGACTATATTAAGTTTATATACCTCATAAAAAGTTATAATGTTTTACCTTTTCTATGAATACTTGTGCTCGTTATCTCTGTAAAAAAATGCATACTTTTTAGAATTGTATTAATAGGGAATATAATATGGAATCGCGTAACTAAAGAAATAACGATATTAATTTAAGTATCTAAATATATGTATTTATATATCTGGTAGTATTACTGTATTCCACTTTCTTTGTAAACACGTTTTATTTTTAATTTGACTCATTCACGCATGATTACTTTCAAAATATTTTTAAGCTGTTTGTCTCAACTGTGTTTTCAAGCAGCCTGTTGGTACAGCAGGTTTGCCAATAGGGGTTCTGTCTATGTGATCTAAGATCAATACCCAGGTCAGGCACATGTTTTTCTTCTAACAAAGACTATATTTTCATTTTTTTGTGTTTTTTATATATTATAACATATTCAATGTTAAGTGATATAACTAATGAAATAAAAACATGAATGACAGAGCCTGCAACCTACAGATTTAAAGATCATGATTTGTGAAAAAATTCACAGCTTTTATTAAAACAATATCTAGTATTTTTTTTAAAAAAAAATGTTTACATCAACACCTAGCCAAGTATTAAATTATACCCTGAGCAGAGATGAAGAGTGCCCAGAGGAAGATGGTGATGAAAGTCATTGTTGCTGTGGGTTCTGTTACCATGAAGGTCAGTTCTCAGCCATGAAGTGTTAAACTCACAGGGCTATAAACACTCCCAGAGCACTGAAGCATGTGCTGCCAATGCAAAGTGTCTCTTCTATGCAAATTGTCTCCTGGGTTGAGCAGCACTTGTAGCCAGTCAGTGCTGGAAACACAGGCTTGGTTCTGTGTGCTGTGACAGAGCAAGATGAGCAGTTTAGGATTAACACTCCCAGGACAGCAGCACTAGACAGAGAGCAGCTTTATATGGAGCAGAGGATGAGACACAACTAGCTGAGCCCTTATTCCACTCAACACAGCTGGAATGGAGTGGAGTGTGGTGAGTCTGGTTAAAGCAGCACTTGGCTCTGTGTGCTCACAGTAGGACTGAAGGATTAAAGTAAGTAAATGTAAGTTGCCATTGTAAGACATCAGTTAACTTCTTCACTTCTTCTTAATGTTGAGTGACACAGGTGATTAAGTCTCTCTTCAAGTCCAGCACTTTGTGGGTGGAGTTGGAGAGCCAGAGATTGAACAGGAAATCGCTGATTTCAGGTAGAGACATTTAGGGAGTGTGCCCTCTGGTGCACCAAAGTGATTTCATTTTCTATGAAAAAACATTTCCTGGAACCTCCTCTCTACAAATTGTCTTAAAAAATATATTTTCACCTAAAAATGCAGCTTGAAAAACTATTCCTATTCATTGTGTTTCAAAATGGTGCTTATGCTCGTCTTGACTGCTTGGATAAAATGATAAAAGAAGGTCCAAGCTGCTCAGAGACCAAGAGAGATAACTAATAAGTATGCTAGAGGTTCATCTTGATTTCTCAGTTACAGCTAAAGTTAGCTAATTGGAAAGCTGTGGGTTGAAATCTCAGCTAGACTTCTGCTGTTCATCTAGATTGCTGCAGTAAAATGCTTGACAGGATCAATAGGCTGTCTTAATAGTGACAGCTAAATAAATTACTGAATTTTAATGATTCAAGATGCTCATCTTGAATGTTCTTGAAAAGAATCGCCTTGAACATATCTACACTTCTGTGTGTTGAGAGTTGCCTCCTGTTCTCAATAAAGCTCTTTCCATTCCCATTTCTTTCCCATATCCACCCTTCATCCAATCGTAGATCTTGACATTGAATATTTGATAATCTAAGACCCTTTTGGGATATTGGATTTTCAATCAGTCCTGATTCCTCTCCTGTGTTCTCTGTTTTCACTGTGAATAATGTCTGCAGCCCATCCGGCTTCATTCAACATGTTTTAGACACAATACTGTATTTCAACAGAAGCTGTCACGCTTTACTGTCACACACTGCACAAAGGGATAGTGTCCTTAAAGAATGACAGAATGAAAGAACCCTTTCAGAAAGAGCTTGGAAAAGCAAAACTTGTTTTGAAGTGCTTTATTTGTTTTAGTAAATGTACAGCAGGTATATTGGAAGTGTAAACAATACAAGTATCCACCTCTAGAACTCACTTTGATCTTGTGCAAACCCTGAAAAATGCCTGAGACCCAAACATCACCTTCTATTTTCCCTAAAACTGCATTCCCCCTGAAGCATCTTAAATCCAGTAAAGCAATATGCTCCGTGGGTGTCCTGACATGAACATACAGTATTGTTACAAGTGGTGGGGTTTTGAAAAGTGGTGAATAACAGGAATTGAGTGAATGAATAAAGCAGTAAGTAAAATAAATAATCATAACCCCCAGCTTGTAAGGATTTCTTAAAGAATTAACCAGAGTGGTTGGTATGATTAGTTACATACATTCTTTGTTCTCTGTTTCGATGAGAACAGTAAAAATTCAGGCACACTGAGTTAAACAAATATTAACAATGACAATACAAACTGTACACTACACACATCATAAACACACAACACAACACACAAGTTACTGTATTTACAAGTATACAGACTAGGCCTACAGTACATCCAGAACACCCAGATAACCCCAAACTGCTACTGAATACCTGGCTCTTTAATAATGCCAACAGAGGCAAAGGAGAGATAAGCTGCCTTCTAAACTAAATAGAATACAGCTTGCACTTAGATCTCTCCCTGCACACCCTGATGCCACAGAATAAATGGGAATAAATGGGAGAGGCAGTTTTAAACTGAGGGATTTTTCACTCAGGAACTCCGTTTCCTAAAAGCCACAGAATAGCAAGCTCTCTTAGCAAGATTCAGATACTGAACTCGAATCAGGACTTATCACATGATCTTGAAGTAGGGACTCTTTCCTGGCACAAGTTTTAAGTTCTGTCTATTCCTGTTCTCTTTCTTCTGGTTTCCTGTTTTACCCTTTTCATCTTTTCTGTCCTCCTCTTGATCTGATCTTATATGGTGTCATTCTGGAGTTTTGATTGACATTTTACTCATTTACTCAGAACTTAATTAATGTAAACCAAGATAAACTTTAGGACTACTTTGATCACAGGATCTGGACTGTCAATGTCTCCAAAAACACCACCCCTGCTTTGAAGCTGGAAATGTTTACACTGCCAGTTGTTAGACACTTTATCTAGATTCTTAGATACCTCTATTGTCCACAACCTCAGCCTCTAACAATATTTACAAAAAAAATATTTATTTTAACACAAACAATTTTAATATATGTCATAATATGTCAAGGATGATGAGCCCTAAATGCAGTTTTGTAGCTGACTGACTGCACCACCAGACACCTTGAAGGGTGCAATGACCCCTTTTCCCCTGTAACAGGCCCTGAAAGACTGTTGCCTATCTGTCACTGAGAACACGGCTGAGAAATAAGCTATTTTGTTTCTTTCTGTTTCTAGTTCAAAAATGGGGAAATTGCTCCATCTTACGGCCATTCTGAACTCATGTCTCTCACTTTAGCATATTCATTCCTGTACTGTGGGTTGATCAGAACCCAGACTGAACATCTCCAAGCTTGTAACTGAACAGCTCAGTGCCCAACTACCAGCCCCTCTACCAAGTGTACAGGGTTTCTCTAAATAAAGGGAACATGATTGAGAATAAAAGTGTCATTTTGATTACGTCGATTTCCCATTAAATATGACCTTTGTGACGAATTGATTATTTCAATATTTTTTTTAACAGAAAGTATTAAATAAAACCTCAAAAATAAGTTACCAGATTCCAGAGTCAGGATCACCGCCTAATGCATGCAGGCTGTGGGATGGGCTGTAGATGGGCCCTGTCACACCTCCTCCACCCTATCCAACCACCTCCCAATTTTTTCCACCCTTGTTGAGCACCAGACAGTGCAGAAGTCTCCTGCTGTAGGAGACCCAGTCATCTGGAGAAGCAGTTCTTTCTGCTGTCTGGGAAGTGGTAGTAAGCTCTGAGTCCTCAAGTGTCATGATTGTCACGATCATAATCCCTCCTCTTAAGGGCGCTCCGGCTTTTTCACATTTTAGTTGATTTTGTTCACCTGCCTCCTATCCTGCCCCTCCTTATTTAAGCCAGACGCTCTCACTATTCTGGGCTCAGGATTGGGAGATGGACGCCCAGAAGCCCACCTACCAGAGGGTCCAGGAGAGACCCGATGGCATAGGCTTCACCACGGCGTCCTGACCATCTGGGTCCAGGGCTCGGAGAGCCTGGCCTCATTATTCCGTTTTTATTCCCTGTCCCTGCACCAGATCCGGTTTTTAACCTTATCTTGTTTTTGTCTTGGATGGATCACCCGGTACTGGACTCTTGGACTTCGCCCTGGATTT